TCTGGGTCCACAGCTTCTGAGGCACATTTTAGATTTAGAATTTATCTCTTTAAATGCCCAACACTGACCCAACTTAGTTATGCTTCAAATCACATTTCCATTTAATGATTTTACATACATGACCAAAAAATAATGCACATCAATATGATAGCATGTGTTGCTCACTGTTTAATTCAGGGTGGATGAATCTATCTTTGTGCAACTGTACTGTTGTATGTGGTGAAAGCTTCATATTCTCCTCTAGCTTGCTAAAATGAGCCAGTCATTCCTTTTATCTGTAGTTACATTTCCCTTCTGAATCAAGGAAGTGTCTCACTCCTAGCCCACTGTCTCTTAGAATCCACCAATGTGCCTTTTGCCCTCCTTCTTTCTCCTTCCACTGCAGCCTCTGAAAGCCATTCCCACACTTTAAACATTTCCCATGAATGGATCATGCAATCTTCAATTTTCTGCACCTGTTGTTTCACCAATCAAAATCATCTGTATTTCCAATCATGTCACAAATGACAAAGATTCATTTTATACCTGAATATTAGTCCAATTTGTTCAAGAGCCACATTCCTGCTATCCATTCTCCTAAAGCTGGACACTTCCGTCATTTCCTTTTCTTATCTCATGTGGATGTGCATCATGAGCAAGAAGCTCAGGAGGTTTCTTCTGCTGCTACCTGCCTTTCCCCAGATGCCAGAACAGGAAGGGGATTCCTGGGTCACAGGTGTTATGTCTAGTGACTTACAGAGCCTCTATATCTTCCCATAAATGCTGTACTAAGTTACATTCCAATACACAGTGCGCAAAGTTCACCTTTCCCCTCAAATCCACATCCACACTTCTTTTTCTTTTTGATCATAGCCTTTCTTATTGGGCCGAAGTGAGATTTTATTGTGTTTCCATGAAGGTGATGATTAGTAATTTTGAAAACTTTTAATATAATTTTTTGTCATTTTTATGTCCATTTAAAATTTTTTTTTTATTTTTAAGGAAGCACAAAATACTATTAAAACAGAAATATTGGGCTGGCAAGAGAGCTCAGCAGACTAAGTGCCTGCTTAGGCAAACACAGGTCCCATGCCTGTAATGCAAGCACTGGGGAGGCTGAAAACAAGAGGATCACTATGAGGCAGAGCTGTGTAGTGAGACCCTGTACCAAATACATTTTAAAAATAAGATAGAACAGAAAAATTACAAGTGATACAGAATTTCACTTAACAAAGTAATGTGAATTTCATAGTGCTTGTTAAAATACATTGTGCTGTCTTCCAACCAGTTATTCATGTTACTATATGCATGCAAAATTGGAAAATAAACAAAAATTAAAGAAATATATAAGAATTTAAGAAGAGAAAAAGAAGAAACAATTGGAAAAAGGAGATAAAACAAATTAAGCATTATCTGCTCCTTTCCATAGTCCAGCAAAAATCCACAGTACAGTTGTTTATGTCCACTTTTGATAAAGATCAACATAGGTTTATTGACCATTGACTATATAAAGTTCATTAAATATCATTTGTATCAAATCTTTAGTGGATAGGTAGCCGGTAAACACATTCCTCCATCCTTTAAGCTATCTCTTCTCTCTGCTGATTGAAGACTTCTTTGCTGGACAAAAGCTGCTGACTTTTGTGTGACAGCATTTGTCTATTTTGCATATATGGCTTGTGACTTTGGCTCTCTGAGAAGACGTTTTCTCGTTCTACCATCCAGTTGCATTTATCCTGTTTTCTACTAGTATTTTCACACTTCAGATCTTATATTTTTGCCGTGAGTCCACTTTGAGTTTATTTTTCTGAACTAGTGAGAGGTATGAATCAAGTTTAATTGCTCTGGATGCAGGTATCAAAATTTTGCCACAGTATTTTCGACAGAGACCATCCATTCCCCCAAGTTTTGCTCTTAGCACCTTTGTCAAATCTGCTGGTTGAAAAACAACAGCCCAAAATTAAGCATTTGAAACAGCATAGCATATTTATAATTAGCTTTTGGGGAACTCAAATCAATGTCTGCCCCTGAGAGTTCTCACATCAATAATATATTTGTTCATTTTGTGTGCATATGTATGTTTATGCCTCTTAAGAGCATGGCATAAAATATTAGAGTAATCTGGCTAGCAGTACACCATAACAGTAAAATTACAGCTACAAATTGGAGTACAAAATAAATAGAAACACAATGATTCAGAAATAAGACATATCATTTTAGAATTGGCTGTAGGGGGGCAGGGAGATGGCTTAGTGGAATAAGCACTTCCCTGGCAAGCACAAAGGCCTGAGTTCAATCCCTGGTTAAAAAAAA